CCCCAAAACCCCAAAACCCCAAAACCCCAAAACCCCAAAACCCCAAACGCTAACTCTCCAGTTGAAATAAGAATTTAAATAAAAACAATTCAAAATGGATGACCACCGTTGCTCTGCTCCTTGAAGCCATAAAAAGGTCTGAGTGACCAACTTAAATATTCCATACGGTAGTGAAGGCAAACTTGAAACAGGTAAGCCTTTTCTATTTTATGATCATGGGAGTTCGCATCTTTTCACCAAAGCTATTGAATAAAAGTACCGGAAATTTGAAGATTTCTAATTGCTACTGCTTAAGTGGAGTCAATTGCTGAACGTGCAGCTTAGTTTCATGACTCAACATTAACTAGGAAGGCACAATTTACCCAGAGATTTAGAATAAATTGTGACTCATTTTCTCACTAAAATTTTGGACTCACGAAAATTTTTCCGTTTAGAGATTGGCTTTGTTGTAATACTTCCTTAATTTAAAATATAGTTTTCTTACAAATAGTTAAGCTCTAGTCTTACTTTTTTTCAATAAAACTCCCTAAAAGAGTGTTTTCTCATTAAAACTGGACCATAATTGCGCAATTAATTCTTCCTGATTGTTTCTAAAGCAATATATAGAACCTGAAAGAGGAGAAAATAGAATATCTTTATCTCCTGTGTGAACTCCATGCCGATTCGATAACAATCTCCTTAACTGGCTTGAAACAGAAACTAAATAGATATAATAAAAGGGCAACTCTAGCCCCCAAAAGAATCAATTCTTTTGAAAAGTCAACACAAAAGATAGAGAAAGCATCTCTTCGAAGAGAATCATTTAATTCTCAAATAAGAAAGTAAGCTCTCCACAATTCTTCTAGGAAATTTGATAAATGAAGGTTTTTAATGAGATCAAACACCAACGTAAGCCTCTATTCCTATTGGTCTAGTATTTAAAAGACTCAAAAATACCATATATTAATCCAGTTTCTTCAAATGAAAACAAAAAAGGAGACAGATTTAAGGCCAAAAGGATAAACACAAATAGAAAAGAGGAATTTATTAAGCAAAAGACAGACTTATTTGAACCCGAACCAGCAGCATCCGAAGTGACGTGTAACAAAGAGAACTCGATGCAAAATAAGCAGATAAAAACTAAACTGAAAAAGTATTTTAAAATAACTATTATAGTTTCTTGAAGATTCAAATGCCTCTAAAAGATGTAAAAAGAGAATTCTAAGCCAGTTTTCCCTCTTGTCATAATAAATTAATCTTCAACCCTTTCCTAAAACTAGGGGTTTTGGGGTTTTGGGGTTTTGGGGTTTTGGGGTTTTGGGGTTTTGGGG